CCGTGTCCTCCTGGGCTCAGGGTTCTCCGTCTCACATTTGAACTCTGCCCATCTCCCCACATCCCTCTGGATGAACACCACAGTGGGACTGTCTGCCCAGCTTTTCATTTAGCCCTGTCCCTAGACACTGTCTTTCATATCACCCACAGCCCCATCTTCAGCAGGTCACCCCATCTCACAAATCCAAACTCCAGAGCTCCAACCCAGGCCCAGGGCCCAGGCTTGCTTTTGTTCAGGAGGCAAGTTTGGACACTGATCATTCTCTTCACTAAAAGCTCCATAAGTTCGCAGTACTTACTGAGCAACAGATTTTTTAGCATGCCATCCATGGCCAACCACTGTCTGATCCCATCCCCACTTATCACCCCATCCTTATAATCATCTTGACATTTTCTTATTCTTCAAGATCTGACTCATATATCACTCCTTCCACGAGGCCTTCCTCTTTCTCCTTGCTTTGTACTTCATAGCATCATGTTTTTCTATGTATTGCTTTCTACCTCTAGTTTATTTGAGACAATGTCTTGCTCTATCACCCAGGCTGGAGTGCAATGGCATGATCATAGCTCACTGCAGCCTCAACCTGGGCTCAAGTGATCCTCCCACCTCTGCTTTCTGAGTTGCTGGGGCTACAGGTGCAGGCCACCATACCTGATTCCTACCTCTGGTTTTTGTGCACATGGTATATACTCCGCACAGGCTAGGACTGTGACAAACATTTCTTCACTTCCCACATTGCTGAGAATAATGCCTTGGACAATACCTTACACATGGTATTGATCACTGTTTAAAATCTACTAATGCCCCAATGGCTTTCCATATCACCAGGTCAATAATAAAAGCCCTACCTATGCCTACCTAGTCCTATCTGATCTGATGTGGTTTTTTTTTTTTTTTTTAAAGACAGAGTCTCGCTCTGTCTCTCCCAGACTGGAGTGCAATGGCACGATCTTGGCTCACTATAACCTCCACCTCCCAGGTTCAAGCAATTCTCCTGCCTCAGCCTCCCAACTAGCTGGGATTACAGGCATGTGCCATCATGCCCAGCTAATTTTTGTATTATTAGAAGAGACAGGGTTTCGCCATGTTGGCCAGGCTGGTCTTGAACTCCTGACCTCAAGTGATCCACCCGCCTTGGCCTTCCAAAGTGCTGGGATGATAGGAGTGAGCCACTGCGCCCGGCCCTGATGCTCCTCTTACCACTCCCGACTTGCTCCGCCCTATCCTCTGTGGGCCTCTCTGCTGTTGCTTGAACACATTAGGCAAGATCCCACCTCAGAGACACTTGGTTTGCCCTTCCCTTTACTGGGATGCTCTTTCCCCAGTATGGCTGCTCTCTCATGTCTTCAGGGCTTCTCTCAAAGGTCGTCCTTTTTTAAAAAAAAATTAATTTTTTTAAATTAATTTTTTAATTAATTAATTAATTAATTTTTGTGAGATGGAGTCTCACTCTGTCGTCCAGACTGGTGTGCAGTGGCAAGATCTTGGTTCACTGCAACCTCCGCCTCCCGGGTTCATGTCATTATCCTGCCTCAGCCTCCTGAGTAGCTGGGATTACAGGCCTGCACTACCATGCCCAGCTAATTTTTCTATTTGTAGTAGAGATGAGTTTCACCATGTTGGCCAGACTGGTCTTGAACTCCTGACATCAAGTGATCTGCCTGCCTCTGCCTCCCCAAGTGGTGGGATTACAGATGTGAACCACCGCGCCTGGCTTGAAAGGCCACTTTCTCCATGAGGCCTTCCCTGACCACTTATTCACATGGTGATCCTTGAAACACTCCCTTTTCCTCCCGGCTGCCTATTGTTTCTCCATAGCATTTTTCACCTCCTTTCACAGTATATATTTCTTTCATGTGCTGTGTTCATTTTCTGTCTCCCCTCCCCCTTTTAGAATGTCAGCATCATTCTAGTTTAAATCTGTTTACTTCTGTGTTCCCAGAACCTAAGGATAATGTCTGGCATAGGGGAGGCACTCAACAAATATTTGTTGAAAGAAAGAAGGAATAAGCAAATTAATAGAAGGTGCTCCGTAAATATTTGTGAAATTGAATTAAAAGTGTCAGAAAGAGATGGCTGTGAAATTCCCAAAGTCTAAAAGTATGTGAGCTTAGAAGAATGGTGGAGTTGAGTGCTGCCTCATTATAAACATCCTCGAGGAAGGACTGAAACTGTGTGCTTGCAGTGGGAGGGGCAGCTGGGCAAGGAACCGTGAACCTTCGCGAAACATTTGGGGCTCCAGTGAGAGCGCTGCATCTGGGAGCTGGCGATGCCGGCGGCTTGTTCATCCACCCAATCCGAACACTTGTCTATGACACAGGTGTTTTAAGTTATTTTGGTCTTTGCCTCTCTCCTCAGCTTGTGAAGGTTACAGAAATCTGGGATGGCTTATGGGCTGCTTCTCAGCCCTAAGTAGGAAAACAGCAGTGAAAATGGCAACCAAAACATCACGCAGGACTGGGGGTCTTGGGGAAACAGCTCACTTTAGAGCAGTGCAGTGTAGAGCTTTCCGTCTTCTACCAGGGTCCACCTTTTAACACTTTATCTGAAAATTTTCCCCCTGGCTTACTCGCTTGCAGCTGCCCACTTTGCAGGAGGATGGTGCTCTGATCTCTAGGCTCCCTGTTCCTGCGGGGACTCCATAGTATTTTTTTTCACGCTTCGTCACTACTACAGCAGACGCCTGCCTTCTCATTATTTGCTGTACAGATCTCCGGTGCCTTGACTGTAAACAAAACACTTTAGATCATTGTGAGGTGGATGTAAGCACAGCCTTTCTGCTGGCAGCCAGACTTCTTAAGGTGGCGTGACTGTGACTTGCTTACTTTTCGAGATTAACAACAACAAAAAAGCGACAAAATAGTTCTCCTACATATTAGTTGAAAGATTCAGCATGTAAAGGGGATCGAAGTGTTAATTTTCTACTTCCATATAAGACATGAATTCCATGAGTAAAATCAAACTTCTGTGGCAAGGTGAAATACTCTAGAATGTCTCCATTTACATATGTGTGGTAGTTTGGGTGTTTATGCATGTGGATAGATGCACATATATAGAGTTCCTGTGTTGTCTAGCAATTGTTTTAAAATTTGGACAATTATCTAATTTCGGGAGTAAGGTATAAATTATGGTAGGGAGCCCTACCCTAATTTTCCTGTCCCTTCTCCCCTAGTCTTCAGTCCAATAAATTGACAGCCTTAAAAGTAGCAAAAATAAAGAGGATGAGACTTCTTGCTTGATCCTAGGTGAATTCTTTTCTGTCAGTTAGGTAGGAAGTCCTGACTTGAAAACTAGTTCTGGGCACTGCCTCCTTTACTCTCCCTGGATATCACCCCTGTCCTTCTAGAGCCTATATTTTAGTTGAACTAGTGGATGGTGATACCAAAGGCTCATGACAGCTGCATTTAAATATCAGTGACCACAGGCCACATCAAGGAAACATCTGCAGGCAACCCAGGGCCTGGGAAGGAGCCATTTTGAGTCACTTGTAAGACAGCAGGACCTGCAGACTATAGCACAATCAAACCCAGATAAAACCCTGAACCAGTGAGAACCATTAGGAAGGAAAGGAACAGAAAATGAACCAACTTGAGTGTTACGAGACCTGCATCTAGTCCTGACTCTGGTACCAACCGAATGTATGTCCCTGGACAGGAAACCTCTCTGAGTCTCAATGTCCTCCGTGGTAAAGAGGAGAGGGTTAAACCACAGGGTCCCGAAGGTCCCTTCCAGCTGTCACATTCTGGAGTGTATGAGATGAGGTAGGCACACAAAGTGGACAAACAAGATGTGGCTAAGAAAACAAGAGACACATGAAGTTCATCTGTAGCATAGGTGCATAAGAAAACTTTGCTGCTGTTTAAGGTTAGAAAGGAAGGTTGGTTTCCAGTAAAATGCATTAACTTTGGCTCAAACCAAGATGATGGGTAGTGGGCATGGGGGTGGGGAGGCAGTTGAAGATCCACTGAGCTCTTGGGGCAGCCCTGCTCATCGTCCTACTTTACCTTCCACCACGGTGCTCAAGCCCACACTGAGAGAGAAATTTCCAGTTGCAAAAGGGAGAAGAGAAACGCTGGAATACTAGCATCGGACGTTAGGACATAGATGTGGTGGTTTTAAAAATCATTTCATCATCTGGAGTTTGACCCCGAGGGGAGTCTTTTCACTCTTCAGCCCTCTGAAAGCATTCACTAGCATCTGAATATTGTTCTGAGTTTGTTGGAGCAGTGAAATCTGGTGAGAGAGAAGGGTGGAGGAAGGAAGGAGCTGTTGTATTTGGCGGCTGGAGTCAGGTAGAGGAAACTGCTACAATCCCGGGAAAGAACAGAAAAGTAGAAAGAGAGGAGTTCCCACACGCAGCCAATGTCCATGGCCTTAACTGTGCTTGGGAAACAAGATCCTGGGCCAGGGGTGTACCCTCGTTTTTCAAAACTAAATGTGTCTGAGACAGCTACAAAGTGTATTAAGGGACTTGAGAGACTACTTGAGTTTTTTTTTAATCTTGAGTTCCTTTCTTATTTTCATTGAGGGAGAGCTTGAGTTCATGATAAGTGCCGCGTCTACTCCTGGCTAATTTCTGAAAGAAAGACGTTCGCCTTGGCTTCTTTCCTAGGCCCCCAGCCTCCCCAGGGATGGCAGAAACTTCTGGGTAAAGGCTGAGCGAACCATTGCCCACCGCCTCCACCCACCCCCAGCTAAGGCACGCCGGCAGGGGGGGCGCCCAGCCCCCCAGCAAACGCTCCGCGGCCTCCCCCGCAGACCGCGAGGTGGGGGCCATCGGGGAGGGCCGAGCTGGGGGCAGCTCGCCACCCCGGCTCCAAGCGAGCTGCCGGCGATCTTCGCGGTCCTCTGGTCCAGGCCCCGGCTTCCCCCGCGAGGAGCGGGAGGGAGGTCGGGGCTTAGGCGCCTTTGCGCACCCGCCAGTGCAGCGCCGGGCCCCGAACCCCAGGCCCCGCCCCAGGTTCCCGGCCGTTTGGCTAGTTTGTTTGTCTTAATTTTAATTTCTCCGAGGCCAGCCAGAGCAGGTTTGTTGGCAGCACTACCCCTCCAGCAGTCACGCGACCAGCCAATCTCCCGGCGGCGCTCGGGGAGGCGGCGCGCTCGGGAACGCGGGGAGGCGGCGGAACCGAGCCGGGGCCACCTTAAGGCCGCGCTCGCCAGCCTCGGCGGGGCGGCTCCCGGCGCCGCAACCAATGGATCTCCTCCTCTGTTTAAATAGACTCGCCGTGTCAATCATTTTCTTCCTCGTCAGCCTCCCTTCCACCGCCATATTGGGCCACTAAAAAAAGGGGGCTCGTCTTTTCGGGGTGTTTTTCTCCCCCTCCCCTGTCCCCGCTTGCTCACGGTTCCGCGACTCCGACGCCGGCAAGGTTTGGAGAGCGGCTGGGTTTGCGGGACCTGCGGGCTTGTACCCGCCCGGACTCGGACGGGCTTTGCCACCCTCTCCGCTTGCCTGGACCCCTCCCCTCCCCGCCCTCCCGCTCGCCGGTCCATTTGATCAGCGGAGATTCTCGGCGGCCGTGCCGGGGCTTCCCCGCAGCCCCTGCGCGCTCCTAGAGTTCGGGCCGTGGCTTGTCCGGATCTGTGTCTTTTGGCTCCGAGGCCAGTCGCTGGGCTTCCGAGAGGGGTTCGGGCTGCGTAGGGGCGTTTTGTTTTGTTCGGTTTTGTTTTGTTTTGTTTTTTTGAGAGTGCGAGAGAGGCGGTCGTGCAGACCCGGGAGAAAGATGTCAAACGTGCGAGTGTCTAACGGGAGCCCTAGCCTAGAGCGGATGGACGCCAGGCAGGCGGAGCACCCCAAGCCCTCGGCCTGCAGGAACCTCTTCGGCCCGGTGGACCACGAAGAGTTAACCCGGGACTTGGAGAAGCACTGCAGAGACATGGAAGAGGCGAGCCAGCGCAAGTGGAATTTCGATTTTCAGAATCACAGACCCCTAGAGGGCAAGTACGAGTGGCAAGAGGTGGAGAAGGGCAGCTTGCCTGAGTTCTACTATAGACCCCCGCGGGCCCCCAAAGGCGCCTGCAAGGTGCCGGCGCAGGAGAGCCAGGATGTCAGCGGGAGCCGCCCGGCGGCGCCTTTAATTGGGGCTCCGGCTAACCCTGAGGACACGCATTTGGTAGACCCAAAGACTGATCCGTCGGACAGCCAGACGGGGTTAGCGGAGCAGTGCGCAGGAATAAGGAAGCGACCTGCAACCGACGGTAATGACCCCTTCCCAACCACAGAAAGTCTGTCTGGGGCCCCGCTTTGCCTGCTGGAGGGTGCTAACCTTAGCTTGCTTTTCGGCGTATTCTGATTTAGCTTTGGGAGAGCGAACTTTATTGGTCTTAGGTGTTCAGTGCTACCTGGCCCACTGCTTGTCTGTGACTTTTAAGTCAGAAACTGGAAATGGTAAGATCCGATAATTTCCCTAACTTAAGACATCGCCGTCCCTCCCACTAGCAACCCCTAGGTATGTGACAAAGTTGGGATGTTTATCAACGGTCCGCCTCCTGGCTAGGGAGAGAGCTCTGGGGCGGAGAATGCACTTTCTTCTTTTTGAAAACAACCTCATTTTGTGTCCTTAAAGGCTACTGAGGATGACGGATCCTGGATTGTGGGTGGAGGGAGTGGGTTTTTCGTCCCGCGACTATTGGGCCAACTTCTGCCAGCCATTGTTTTTTCTAATAAAGATTGTGTGTTCTTTTTAAAAATTTCCTCTGCTCTTAGATTCTTCCACTCAAAACAAAAGAGCCAACAGAACAGAAGAAAATGTTTCAGACGGTTCCCCAAATGCCGGTTCTGTGGAGCAGACGCCCAAGAAGCCTGGCCTCAGAAGACGTCAAACGTAAACAGCTAGGTGGGTTGATCACTAAAGGAGCACGTACTGAAACCCGGGGCCATCAGACCTCACGATACCTGATCTTGCTGGTTGCTGGCAGATTACAATCTTTTGGGGTTTTGTTTTGTTTATACTTTCGTGAGGTCAAAAAAGTAGCAATGGGAAGGTTGGGGATACTGTAATTCTTCTATGCCTAGAGATACTTTCTCTTGAAACAGTAGACCAGAGCAACTACTTGTAACCAAGGCCCCATCGGGTAAGAAGGTCATTTCCCTGTGAGCCCCACTAAAACATGTTGGGAACAATAGGTTCTTCGCCCATCCGAACAAGAACTGGGGTACTCCCTCAGTCCCACTTCATGAGAATTCATTTCCCAGAGGTTCAGCTTGAGTCAGTAACAGATTTTGAGCCATACATGGAAAAATGGCAAGTACATTATTAAGTTTCAATTTTAAGGGGGAATGTTTGGTAGAAATTGCTCACCTTTGGTTATGCAAGGGATTAGAGATGTCAGTGGGTAGTATGTTGTGTTCTTTGACATTTTCATAAACTGTCACTTTCCTTGTTTGCTCCTAAGTTTGGAGAGAGAAGGAACCAGTATTTGCAAAAACCAAAATGGAAAGATAAAAAACATTACTAAAGTTTCTACAGAATTTCTGGTAACACTGAAGTTGCAAAGCAGAAGTTAAATTAACTCTCGTCAGTAAGCAATCCAGGAACACGTCAGCCAGTGTATGCTAATTGTGCCGTAACAGGGTGATTTGGATATTTGTAGGGGAAATGGGTAGTAAATATCAAGACTGGTGACCGCAGGTCAGCCCAGCACAAAGGAAGTGGAGATTTTTCCATGCACAAGAATCTGATCACTGTAAATAGCTAATTTGAATAATTCAGTCCCCAAATGTACATGGATTGGCTATTCATAATGATCGAACTACATATATTAATAGTTTGTTAGCTTCTTATAGACCAAGACTGACCTCTTTATTTTCTAAAGCACACACGTAGCTTAGCATATGAGGCGATCTTAATATTGATGTTAACTTTTTAAATCCTCATTTATAAAAAATTTTAAAACAACAGGGATTACGGTGGGATTCAGGTGTGTTGTGTCTTTAAATTGTATATGTGACTTTACATATCTTATATTTTTCAGAGCTTATACAAAACGGCACTATAGAACCTCTATTTTATAGCACCATGTGAAGTGGGAAAATCAGGTGAAAATTTCCCTGAAGCAACCTTAACACACGCAGCCCTTGTTGGTTTGTGACTTGTGGCCCAGCTTATCAGATGAGCCACGAGAATCGGACCTGGATTTTGATCTGGCCCCCGTTTTGACATGCAGAGAGGCATTTATAGCATTTAGTAATATTGCTAGTTCAAAGAATACTAGAAATATTAGTAAGAACCTATTCAAAAGTATTCATGAGTATTTTCTGCATATGAATAAGAAATTAGAATATTTTGAAAATGATGTTAATAAAATTTTCTTCTGGAAGGCCCTTAGGATTTTTATTTCTAATCATTTTTCAAATTTAGAAAATTTAATCTGTCACAGGAGTAGAGAAAAAAAATTCTAAATTTTTAAAAAATTTAGAAAATTTTTACTCTTAAGTATTACAGTTTCCTAATTTTCCTATTTATTTCCCACTTGTCTTTGACCTAGATTCTTTAGGGTTTCTCAACCTCTGCACTACTGACATTTTGGGCCGAATAATTCTTTGTTGTAGGAGGCTGTCCTGTGTGTTGTAGATTGTTTGGCATTATCCCTGGTCTTTCCCACTAGATGCCAGCAGCATCCTCCTCCCACAGTGTGACAACCTAAAATGTCTCCAGACATTGCCAAATGTTCCCTGGGGAGCGGGGGCAACATTGCCTACTGTTAAGAACCACTGCTCTAGACAAAAGAACACAGCACAGAAGAGGGGAAAAAAATCCAGTTAAGAGAATGTTAGGTGGAGATGACTGTAGTCATCAAACTTTTTTCCTCATCAAGTATTTCCAAGCTAACATAGTGACAAAATAATTCCTCTACTCTATTGGTAACGTTACTCTAAGGCTTTTCCTTTAATTTTTCCGTTTTGTTTTCTTTTGCAGAATTAAGAATATGTTTCCTTGTTTATCAGATACATCTTGATCTTGATGAAGCAAGGAAGATATACATGAAAATTTTAAAAATACATATCGTTGACTTCATGGAATGGACATCCTGTATAAGCACTGAAAAGCAACAATAACACTAAAATTTTAGGCACTCTTAAATGATCTGCCTCTAAAAGCGTTGGATGTAGCATTATGCAATTAGGTTTTTCCTTATTTGCTTCATTGTACTACCTGTGTATATAGTTTTACCTTTTATGTAGCACATAAACTTTGGGGAAGGGAGGGCAGGGTGGGGCTGAGTAACTGACATGGAGGGGGATATGAAGAGCTTGCTTTGATTTGCAGCAAGTAGATAAATATTTGACTTTCATGAAGAGAAGCAATTTTGGGAAAGGTTTTGAATTGTTTTCTTTAAAGATGTAATGTCCCTTTCAGTGACGGCTGATACTTCATTTAAAAAATCACAAAAATTTGAACACTGGCTAAAGATAATTGCTATTGTTTATTCTCATTTGGGAGATCTGGTGATCTCCCAAGTTTGTTAAATAGCTGCATATGGCTTTTTTAAAAAAGCAACAAAAACCTATCCTCAGTGCCCTCCCCAATCTCTCTTAAAGTTGGAATTTACCAGTTAATCAGCAGAATGGTAATCACTCCAGGTAGTTTGGGGCAAAAATCCGAAGTGCTTGGGAGTTTTCAATGTTAAGAATTGACCATCTGCTTTTATTAAATTTGTTGACAAAATTTCTTCATTTTCTTTTCACTTTGGGCTGTGTAAACACAGTCCAAATAATTCTAAATCCATCGATATTTTTAAAGATCTGTAAGTAACTTCACATTAAAAAATGAAATATTTTTAATTTAAAGCTTCTTTGTCCATTTATCCAAAGGAAGGTGTTATTTTTAAAGGAAGGTTCATGTAGAGAAAAGCACACTTGTAGGATAAGTGAAATGGATACTACATCTTTAAACAGTATTTCATTGCCTGTGTATGGAAAACCTTTTGAAGTGTACCTGTGTACATAACTCTGTAAAAACACTGAAAAATTATACTAACTTATTTATGTTAAAAGATTTTTTTTAATCTAGACAATATACAAGCCAAAGTGGCATGTTTTGTGCATTTGTAAATGCTGTATTGGGTAGAATAGGTTTTTCCCCTCTTTTGTTAAATAATATGGCTATGCTTAAAAGATTGCATACTGAGCCAAGTATAATTTTTTGTAATGTGTGAAAAAGATGCCAATTATTGTTATACATTAAGCAGTCAATAAAGAAAACTTCCATAGCTATTCATTGAGTCAAATTGTAATGTGCTTTACCAAACGAGGTATTTGACTTGGCATTCTAGTCATGTTTAAACAAATGTAAATGTGAAATGGCAAATATCTAGGTAATTCAGGCCCACAACTCAGATGGTGTTTTATGTAGTCTGAATGTAGTTAGCAGTTAGTATTTTCCACCTAGCTCTGTGTGGGTGGACAAAACTTTAGAAGGTGAAAATGGAAAAGCTACATTTTCATATGAATAAGGTTGTCAAAGTCTGCATTAGTAAAAATATTTATGTCTTCTAGGATATGAATGTGTCAGAACCAAAAAATCCTTACATAAGTGTAGACTGACACACATGCAGGATTGAAAATGAAAGTAACATGGTGACTTCTCTAAATTCTTTATTTACACATGAGAAGTGTGAGGAATTAAAGCAGTTGTTTGGACCATCTAATGTATAAATCTTGTTTAAAATATTCAAACATATGGGCCCTCAAGAAATTGGTGTGCACTCTAGGTAGCTATTTTTGAAATTCAACTGGTCATATAAAAATTATTTTAATTTCCAAATACCCTTGTTATAATCTACACAACCAAAAACTGGCTAATGTAAGTAACCAAATCTGAGAGTTTTGAGTCTCCATAGCCATACAGCAGATATATATTTTTTACGTAAGGAAAAAAGTGTAAGACGATATTTTAAAGTCAGATAACTAAAATGATTCCTGTAATTCCACATTCTCAAAAGAAAATGTGTTTAAGGTGTAATAGTAAATTATTCTAGGACTTACTCTAGTAAGTGGGTAAATCGTAAAAATCTAAATTTGGGTTAAATTGTTTCGCTCAAATATCTACATTTCCATTATCGTACCCCAAAAGGAGCTCTCAAAGAATAGTTTGAACAGTTTTTGACCCGAAGATTTTTTTTTTTTTTTTTTTTTTTTGAGCAGGTTGGACTCTTCGGCTCCCTGGAAGGGAAAAATAGGTCCTTTAGTGGCTGGGCTACGTCTTTCAAGTAGGTATTATTTTAATGAAAGACTAGAGGTGTTTTGTCATTTTGTTTGAAACTCCATCCAAGAGTGTTTTTCGAAAACAGACTGAGGGAGCAAGAAAAACAATTCGAAATAGGGAGGAAGGAGTGGAGGGTCAGAAAATAATGAAATTAAAGTTCCTCTGAGTAAAAGAAGATAATTCAGAAAGTGTCTCTAACAGAGGAAAAAATATCGCCTGGATTGCTGCAGGCACCCCAGTCTCCTTTCCTAAAGAGGTCTCTTTAAAGATAATTTTGAGCGATTGCGTTTTAGTTGTGCGGGCCAGGGAGAAGTGGATGCTCGCCGCGCCAGGCACATCCACAGGAACGCAGCCCCGAGTCACCGTGTCCTTCGTCCTTTACCCGCCTGTGTCAAGCAAGCCTCCAAAAGTGACCCGCAGTTCAGCTCGTCCTTCTCCGCGAACGTCCCTTTGCGGGGATGCGGCCGCCGGTGCCCGCCACCCCTGGCCCCGCTACCAAGCCACTGCGCCGTCGTCTCCCCAAACTGCCCCGCAGTTCCGCGCCCGCCCGCCACTGCAGTTGCGGGGTCAGGCTGGCTGGTGCCTTGGGACGAAAAGGCCATCAAGTCTTGCTCCCCCATCTGTAACGTGCAGCCCCCGCACTGTCCCCGTCGTCGCGCGCAGTTCCCGCGCCCGGGCGGCCGCGCCTCCGCCGCGCAGCCGGGCTGGGCGGTTTCTCAGAAACTTTCCTCCCTCATCCTCTCCTCTGCGCTGAGAAAGCGGCGAAAGCCCCCACTCCTCTCCGCAGACAGACTCTCCACCTGAGTTACTGGCTGCCTCCGCGGCTGTGGGGATATTGGAGCTAAGGAGAGAGCCTTCCCGAGTTCGCGGACCCTCCGGCGCTGCAGCCCGCTCCCACCCCTACACTGGGCTCCAATGATCCGCAGCCCCGCGCATTTCGAAAGCCCGCCCGGCTCGCCGGCGCCCGGGGAGGGTCACAGAGGCGCGCGGCCCGGGCCCAACGCCACGGCCGCCCGCGTGGGTCCCCTCCGCCCTCACCCCAGCTCGGCAACGTCCCCCCATCGCATCCCCGGCCGCCTGGCGCGGGGGCCTGGGACAGGGAAGAACTGGGAAATGTGGGTTTGGGGGCGTGTTTGGGGGACTCCGGGAGCGTGGGCTTCACAAGCGGGGAGCGGGGCGAGAGGCCTCTCAGGCCGGGGTGCTCCGGCCTCAGGGAGCGACTTTCCCGGAGGCCGGGGGACTCTGCCTTCGCCATTTCATTATCATCACAGCGCCCACACTTGCTCTTCTCTCAAGCTCTTTGCACCGAAAAAGTAATTCTAAATCTCCTCTAGGATCTTCTGTCTGGTGTTCAGAGTATGAATTTCTTTTTAAAACTTGCTGTGTCTTTCACCTGGGCCACACCCTACGTCCACCCACCCCCTCTCCGCCAAAAGGGAGGTAAAAAATCCTGCGGGCCCAGCTGGGGGTGGGGAAGGGGCCCACAGTCCCGTTGGAAAACCTCAGCAGCCACCTCCGGGATCGGGGCTGGCCTGGGGGCTGGGGTGGGGTGGGGTGGGGTGGGGTCCGCCGCAGGCCGACCCCGCAGAACCGAAAGTGCAGAGTTGACACGTATGCCCCAGCCCCTCTGCGGCCGCCCGCGCGCCCGGCCTGTCACGCGTGGGGACACACAGAGCGGCAGGCATCGGAGCAAGCAGTACAAAAAGAAATCAAGGCGTTGGGCGCGAAACCTCGACGCGCCTCTAAAGGAACGTTGAGAAAAGGCTGGGAGCAGGGCGCGCGGCCGGGGTATTGCATCATTGCGGCTCCCCCTCCAGAAAACGGGCTCCGAACCACGGCGACCATCATGGCGCTGGCGCCGGGCTGCGCTCCCCGCGCGCCTTCCCCGCGCTCCAGCCGCGGCTCGGGAGCCTCGGACGCGCATTTCGCAAACATTCTCGCCCTCTCCCGAGCGCCTGCCCCCACCCCCTCCTTCTTTCTGTGTGTGTGTGCGTACGTGTGTGCCTGTGTGCGCGCGCGTATTTGTGTGTAGGGAGAACTTGCAGATGATTTTTTTTTCCCTCCCGTGCTGCTGGTTGTAAACTTGATTGGCATTGGCTGCGCCCACTGACCCCGACGCCGAGTCCGCTGAAGATTTAAGGTGGATCCAAGAGGCTGCAGCTTCAGGCTGAGTCTCGCGCTCTAGTTGGTTTGGGAGGAGGAAAAAAAAAAAAAAAAAAGCCCCGAACTGGTCGCCCGCCGCGTTTGCCGAATCCCCCCCCGGGTCCCATTCCCCGCGCCCGCCCGGGGCCCCCTCCCCGCCTCGCGCGCCGCGCGCGGCCTCCGCCCACCTCCCACTTCTTCCCCATTGGCCGGCGCGTGCAGTTTGAATTTTTTTTTTTTTGGATGCTTGTTTTCTTGTAAAAAATACAGTTCCCCAGATCGTGTGACGAAACCTGCTTCGGCGGCCCGAGGTGGGGATTTTGAATCGGTTCGTGGAGGCAGAGGGAGGAGGATGGGCGGAGCTTCTGTTCCAAAATTTTCCCCTAAGTGCGGTTGACAGTGTGCAGGCAGGCGGGGGTGCGCGGGGCGGTCAGCGATCTGCAGCTTCGCAGGGACAGAGATGTAACCGAACTCGTTCACGGATGTTCCGCGCGCAGTGTCACCGGCTGCGGGCCAGGGGTGCTCGGAAGGCACCGGCAGGAGCCTGGCGAGGATGCACCTTCCCCAGCCTTGGAAAGGTAGAACTGGGGAGTGCGGGAGGGTGAAGGTGGCCCGGAAAAGAACACCTCTTCGCAACCAAAAAAAAAAAAAAAATGAGAGAGAGGAAATAGAGGAAAAATGTGTTATTTCAACCGCCACTCAGAACCCATCATAATTCAGCCAGTCGGTGTCATTTTTATTGAATTAAATTTTTAAAAAGTTTTCTTTGATTTCCAGAGCGTTTTTGCGGGAGGAATATGTTAAAACAAACTCAAGACAGGAAATGAGACTTTTGAAGTGCCTTTGATTTCTGGGTCCGGAAATTCTTTTGATAAAGCATGTGTACGTTAAGATTTAGGATGACTTTTTTTTTTTTTTTTTGTAATACGAGTCTAATGGAAATGACTTTCTTTATGAATTAGAACCCAATTATGTTTTACTCTGTGAACATTTTTAAAGTTTATAATAAGTCAAATGATTCTCCCAATCACTATGTCCATATTAGTGAAATTCTATCTCCATATTAGCGAAATTTGCATAGATACACACCTTTTTCTTTTTCTCTTTTAGTCTTGCTGTAGTGTACCGGACGATGTTAACCAGATATCCAGCACTAGCCTTCTAACAGTTCCTAACTCAGTGGTGTCATTTTTTAGTTCTTAACTCCCCCAATCCTTCTTAGCCTAACAAACCTCTTAATTAAGGTCCATGAAAGACCATAAACCAACCTGATAATGCCTTTAGCAAGGGTGTGTTCACTTAATCTCTAATCCCACATCATAAAGGTCTGCTAGTCACTCCTGACCTCCAAGAACCCACCTAACCAGGGTGGACACTGTAAGAAAACATACGTGCCTTAATGGAATGAGAACTTTTTTGAGTTGAAGACACTCTAGCCTCAGGAAACAGTGAGCTCACCATCCCTGGAGTGTGAGTCAAGGACTAGTCTTGGATGGCTCCGTGATAGGAACGTTGTGGACAAGATGCAAATATCAAATAGTATTTGGACTAGTGATTTCAAAGTCTGTTCCAGACCCCTGAGAAACTGTATTTCCAACCTTGGCATTTCTGGATTTCCACTAAATTAAGCTACTTTCCTTGCTCATTAGCATCTTGTAGAGCTGCTTGGGTATTTGAGCACTTGAATGTAGCTAGTCCAAATTGAGATGTGCTATATGACATAAACACCATGTTTCCAAGAATTAGTATGAAAAGAAAATGTTAAATATTTCATTAATAATTTTAATATTGATTACCTATTGAAATAATATTTTGTTATATTGGGCTAAATAAAATATTAAAATGAATTTCATCTGTTCCATTTTGC